TTCTGGTAAGAAACAAGTGACACGAGTCATGAGATATAAATAAGAAAACCATAAATACAACACCCTTCAGTCTTATAATAAGAGGTCTTATAATAGTCCTATAATAATACATTTTTGCTGCATCATGAAATAAATCGGGAATCTGGTTTTGAGTGAAATAAGTATTAATAAATATATTTGTTAAGCATTTATAATATTTATATAATATTTTTAATTATAAATTTATATTATATTTTACTCATGCATTTATAACTGCTTATCAATGATTTATAATGCATTTGTAACTGAGTTATTAGTCATTTATTAACACCTTTATAAACCCTTTACAAAGGGAACCTTAATGTAAAGTGTTACCATTTTTTTATATTCATTCGACTAAAATAGCATGCAACAATTTAGTAATTAGAAGAACATGCAAAGTTAATTATATATAGTTTATTAAATCAAACAGTCTTATTCTTTACAGAACGTTTTCTTCAAAAAATTGTTTAGTGCATTGTTAATATGTTGTGGTGTATCTTTTTATTTTATCATATGATGCAGATTTGTCATCACTGTTGAAGAAATCAAAAACCCTTGTGTTAAACATTGCCAGTGTGGTTGTGTCTTCGAAACAATCTGAACATATTCCAGTTTCTTAAAACGTTAAACAGAAATGTAAGTAGTTCATTGTTATGTGATAGACAGACGCTTCTTGTTTTCTTGTTCATTTAAAACTGTGGCAGATTGTCTCATATACAACATGTGTTGAAGAGATAAATTATGCACTGATCAATTTCAAGGTGTCTGTTGGTTAGATTGCTGCTATGTCAAGTGAAAAGGCTAGCTATGTGATGTTTTATTTACACACTGGGCCTATTGTCATCTTTGATGACGTCTGTTTTGTTTTTCTCGGTACCATGCAAATGTCATGCTTTCAGCAGGTCATGAAAATCCCATTATTTGCCAACATTATGAACATTTTCTTATGCTATAATTTTGATGTTGACGATTTAAAAGACACGGCGCTTAACAACACGCCTGCCCCCAACTAGTATGCAGGTCAATACTTTGCATGCATTGCCTCTCTCATTGGAAATCTTTCAGCTCCCACTAGGAGATGCCAATCATCTTTGTGTTTAATATTTTATCACTAAATCAAGCAGGATCCCCCCAAAGGGCTATTAACACTGACTGACTAGCAGAAGCACATCTGCTGGGGTACGCTGGGAAACTACCTTTGATAAGTGCCACATTGAAGCAACAAAACAACAACCGGTTCAGTCCAGTAATATCATCACATTGATGGGTGACTGAGTCCATTTTAAGCTTGTTATATAGATGAAATTCAGAAACGGATCTCATATCAGAATGGGAAATTCACCTTGACTATTATTCACATCTCAATGACTGTGAATTTAACTCCATATCTGGCTGACAGATTTAACCGTTAATCCATTTGAAATAATGAGGCACATTCTGTAGATATGGGTGGTGTTAAGAACGGTTTCAGAAAAGTTAATCTGATGAAATCTACTCTTATGTGAGAGTGTGTGGCAGGACTAGTTCTTGGCACCCTGAGTAGAATCGAAACAGGATGTGAAAGCTCAATCAGAATCTAAATTGTGCAAGAGAAAGAGAACTGATCTCTGTTCTGTTCTCTGATTTTCAGGGGTCGACGTCTTGATGGGAAAGAGGAAGAGGCAATGGAGTGTGAGGGAAATGGCTAGCACGTCCATAATGAAGTGGAGAATATTTTATGTGTGTTGCTTGCACAGACCAAGAACATCACTGTGAATCTGTATTTGTCTATCTAAAGTAATATTTGAGTTTTCCCAAAACTTACTGATGCTAATATGTTTTTGCTATGGAGTGGCTGGTTATCATCTGTGTAGATTCCAGTCAGGCTGTTGCCAGAGCAACAAACGACCGGTGACATCATGCAATTATTCATTTTTCTCTCCTTCTGCCTTTTCTCTAATTTGGCACATGTGGAATAGGTCTGAATCATAATAAATAAGAGAAAGTGTCTAGTCAATTATATACAGTAAATGTGATCAAATGAATAATGTTAACTCAAATCATTCATTTAAATTTTGAAGATGAATTTAATTTGAATAACAGAAAGAGTAATTTACTGAATTGTAATTTAAATAAATCAAAGTAATGCATTCGAGCAAATTCTCTCTCTGAAAGGCTTTTAAACCTTCAAACTAAAGGCTTTGTCGGTTCTTTTTCCACAAACGTTGCTATTCAGATTGATATTACTGTTTCTTTGAAATTCAGTACATCCAAATTCAAATTACAATTCTTCAATTGTCAGTGGCACACAACCATGTTTGTTGTTTGAAGCTGTTGACAGAATCCATTACATGTTTTTTTAATGAATTAATAGTTATGCTAATAGAATTTCTTTTAATTGTTCTGGTTTTCAATTTGAATTTTGTCTTTCTCTATGCGGTCATTGCTCCTGATATAACACGTGAGTGAGGAACCATCAAGAAATGACTATAGACTTATTACCTTTGCACAGGCTCTCATTTTTCTGTTCATAATACTTAACAGGAATCCTGGGGAAACATATAAAACACTTCCACAGACGTTCACAATCCACCTGAGAGCCCCTCACTGGGTAGAGTGGATGTGTCATGTTCCCCTGCCTCTGCTTTACAAGGGAACAGTTTGTTTCAGCCAGGTGGAGGTCAGAGACTATTGCATCAGCTCGGTAAAAACACGAGCTCATAAGTGAATAAATGAGTCTGATGAGTGAAATAAAAGAAGATTGCACACCCGAAAGCACCACCCATCTAGAGGGGCTTCCAAAAGCAGCTGCTCAGATTGGCCGTTCTGCTTCATTACTTTAATTATTTTCCCTCAAGATATGAAGACCTGAGGATTTTCAACACGTAAAGAGAGAAGGGGCAAACAAAGGTTTGGCCTATTTTAGGACCACTTTCTGAAAGCAAACAGCGCCGCCATCATGCTTTCCTGGAGTCTATCCATCTTTCTTGCAAGGAGACCGACACGACAGCCCCCCCCCCCAAAAAAAAGCCTGGTTGCTGGACATGGCGGGTAAACAAACCTGCTCGGGGGGACCGTTCCCTGCCCGGCACCTGCCACTATTACTGGAGAGCAGGTGCAACTGTGTTCATTAAGATACACATCAGGACACAGAAGTCCTTAAGAGCTGGTTGGGGGCACATTTTGCGAGGCTGCCTTGCAAACACAACGTAGCAACAAGGTGAGCAAAGTAATTTCAGCTTGAATAATGGGGGGCGTCTCGTGAGCCTGACAGACGTGTGTGGTGAAAGCAATTTCACAGCACCTCTCCGTCGCTGTTCGTGTGATCTATTCGAGGTGTTCGCCGACACCGCGGTCAATATGACAGACACCGGTGGTTCGGGCCTGATAAGGTAGCCTGAAAGAACACGGCTTGGGTGCTGCATGTGCGTCTGTCAACCATGGTTCCTTAAGAGACAACGGGCATTCAGAAAGGTCAGAAAAATAGATGACATCAGCTTAGCGCAACAGATGTTTTTGGATAAAGTGCAGCAGTGCTACGACGTGTCTCATTTTAAAGGCATTTGCTTTAAATTCGACTATATTAGGTGATATGACAAGTGTCTAATCCCACAGGAACCAGTGCTACAATAATTAGGACACGGTAAACATGATGGCGGCATTGGACAACATGCAGTCGCCCATCTTAAACACATAGTGGAGTAAAGAATGATGGCTAACTCTTTATCTTCCCTGGGCTTCTGTAACAACATATGTTTGTAAGTAATTAAAAGAAGTTCCCAAGCGGTTACTATGTCATATTGAAATACAATATGGTGAGCAAATTACCTTTCCACAGCAGTTTATGCAAAGCTAGACACAGGAGACCGCTTTGCTTCTCCCTGCTGCCGCATGGAGGGATTGGCAAAGACAATCTCCTGCTCTATTGATGTATTGACTTCTAATTAGTTTGTCAGGAGCTGTACCTTTTAAGAGCATGGGAATAATTGATGATGTCTTACCTAGCAAAATAAGGAAAGCGAGAAACATGTCGGATTTCATCAAGTCTACATAAGGGGAGGCGGGGCTTATGAAATATGCAGTGTTGGTTTGAAATATTCATTTCTAAGCTACAGATTTGTGATGCCCGGAGCTGCAATAGTTGCACATTCAGGTTTCATTGTTGATGTCAGCACTTGAGGCGTACTGTGTTTGTAAAGCACACACACATACACACACACTCATTGCTTGCCTAATTTTACCCCGACTGCTGTTGAGAGGAGACCCCCTAACAGTTGGGCCAATCATTGTGTTTTAAAGCACCATTAAACTGCTAGTTGCTGGATATCAGCGACTACACAGGCCTTAAGTTAGCCGACCGCAGCAGTTCGAGAGTGTGAGCGCTCGCTCTCGATCTCCACAGCCCAGACTTCCAGTGTCATTAAGCCCATTACATGCCCTGTGAAAATCTTCACTGCTTCTACAGCTCAAAGTGATGACTCCTCAAGCAGGAGCGTGAAATATCTGATGCAGAAATTAGACCGGAGCTTCAGCAAATGTGTTAAAAGAATTGGCTGTTAAACGAATTACATCCTCTGGAAGAATTTATGCATAACGTAGTATACCGAAGCACAAGGTTTGCTTGTCTTGACACCCCGGTATTGGCAATTACTTACACGCTGTCCATTTCTGGGTATCAACAAGAATTGAGGAACTATAATGAATAATATCTGTGTTTTGCAGTTTCGGTTATTGTAGCAATCTTATTATGAAAAACGTACTTTGTATTTATCTATTCATTCGGCCGTTTTCTCCAACTCTGTGATGTTATTGTTTATGCCAAGGAAATCAAGATTGGATTCAGTCAGTTCCAAGAATACTAAACAGTGTGTGCAGATGTTTCTGTGTCTTTTATTTCCATTCCACGATTGTTATTCTAATCATTTCCTAATTAATCCACAGCCATGCACCATGCTTAATGATGTATCTGGGACTCCACAATAGATTTGGATTTCTCTTACCTTCCCAGGGTTTGGACTCCATATATATCTCAGACTGAAGATACAGAGGGCCAATATCAGGAATACCACACTCAGGATGATGGCGGCACACTGGTAAGCACGATACCTGGCCTTTCTTTCCTTCTCTTTCCCCAGCTCAACCTATAAAAACCAGTCATGTTATCGTACATTTGTATATTTATATGGTGTGATTTCATGTAAAGGTTTCACACATTGAATATATTATGCACCACAATGCTCAACTAAGAAAGAAATAATCACACAGGCAATTTGAATTCTTCCGAGATCAGAACAAAAGGTCACATTTATTAAAATTGTCCCAAATTAAAAGTTCGTCTGTTCGATTAAATTCCCGGCGCTTATGGCCGCAAATTAATAAAGAGAGGCTTTTGTTCCGGCTGAGTTCCAGGAGGGAGAGTCTAAAAGCTTACTATTCACAGTGGTGTGCTCCACTATCTCTCAGGACATGGCCAATCGGAATTATGAAATATGGAGGAACAAGCTTCAATTAGCCAACGTCTCTTGCCGAAACAGAAGCTTAAAGAACAGAAATAGCAGCAGTGACCAGGGGCGCTGGATATTTAGAGCTTATAGCCCAGGCCTCTATAAATGTGTATGGTTTCATGCTTTGATTAAAATATTGAATAATGTTGAAATGTTGCTGTGAGGTGTCATTTAAATTAAATAAATCTTTAAATATACTGTAAAACTAAAAAGGTCACGCTAACCTATTGAATTTCAGAGGTTTCATATTTAACCCAGTATGTACTATACTTTAACATGCAAGTTTAAAAAAAACTCACATTAGCCATTAGAGTCGGCAAGTGTTGTTTATAAGCTATCAGGATATTATTAATATTATCACTTCTGATATAAAAAAACTGTTGCTGTATATTATTAGCATTATGTTTGAATAAAACTGAGTTTTCTGCAAACTGCAAATAAATTTGCCAAAATATCCTTAAGCACTGTATGTTCTGCCCTGTTTTCAGAGTTATGTCTTTGAAATTTTTTCTACTTTGCCAAGATATCTAGCTGGACCAAAGTCGAGTTTTTTCTGATTACATTGGTGTGGTCTGTAGAACGGAAAGCGGCACCATCATTTCTTTCACTTTGTGACAGAATAAATAACACAATGCGGCAGACTTTATGCAAAATTGTCAAAATGTGGCTTGCGAGACCACGTCTGATTTATAGAGCAGCCTGCAGCTCTGAATAATTTTATTTGTGACAAGGTGATAAAAAACATTTGGGGGCTTAAGTCCCAGAAGCCCACCCCTAATGCCACCCTTGGTGGAGACTCCTGCGATTTTACTTTATCTCACAGTTTAAGACACAGGAATCATACAATGTCATTGAGAGTATTTTTTCTGAACAATTTATTCAGCTAATATACAGTATATAGCCTATTCCTGAAAAGTATAAATGCTCAGAATAAGACAGTTTCACATCGAGTTTGTCATGAACCCCCTGTTAAAAACATCAAGGCATAAGCCCTCTCTCTACGCATGATGGGAAACAGGAGGACAAACAATTAGAGAAGCCTGAGAAGAATTTCCCCTTGCATGAAGCAAAAATGTGAATAGAGATGGAGCTGAAATCCAGAGGTTGCATAAGCAGTGGAAACTTGACTGGAGGACAACGTTCCATCTGCTCGGAATACAAATGGCTCTGAAAATATACCGACGGCTGCCAGCAAAACAGTATTAAACCGGTTTAAGGTTAAGAATCAGCGAGGCAATTCTGCTGTAGCGGGATTGAGTCTGAGTCTATGGTGATGAAGGGAGCCGAGGGCCCCCTGCTGATGAGAGAGAGTAAGGGAAGGCGAAGAGGAGAAAGAGAGAGGTGGAGCTGGAGGGAGGGTGTGAGAAAAGAGAAGGGGAGATGAGAGAGGAAAGGGAAAAAAAAGTTGAAAGAAATGAAGGAGGTAGAGAGAGAATAATAGAAAAGGAAGAAAAATAGACACTAGACGGTTGTCCTAAGGCAATTTTTATCTGAATGGATAAATCGGGAAGAATCCCCCTGTAATGTCTGTTATTTCACATCATTGATGGCGATGGAGATCTTTCTTCTTAAAATAAATTGCTCACTGTTGTACAATTGCTCAAATCTATATTTATCATCACCGGCTCCATACTGTTCTGAAAGGGTATATTAATAATTCTCTGTTGTTACATTATTTTTGAAAATAAATCCACCCACTTGATTTTCAGCAGAACAGACATATGATTGTGTATACAATGCTGAGAAAATTATCTTGATTACTTAATTGTAAATCATGTGGAATAATTTGCACAGTAGTAAACGTCTAGCCATACAGCCATGCAGCGCAACGCTCAGCTGGAGAAAAGGCATGAAAGCAACTCAGAAAACTAAACACTCAAAAAGCCTTGCAGTCAGAAATAATGAACATTGTACCCTACCTGACATATCACAACCTTTGAAAAGAGCAATATAACACAAATTAAAAATCAATCTCAGGTCTTCCACTTATCAAATCCTCTTTACTGAAGCTTTTAAGCATTTTGAAAAAAAAGGAAAATATAATTTAGTTATTTTATATTTATACATTACAGAGAGAATCATTATTCCATATGACCCCCCCTGCCATTTAGATTTATGAGTTCTAACTTTCTAGTTTTGTATCACGTAAAAAGCTCACATATAATACTCACATCTTTGCAAAGCACTTGTTGACTGCTGAAGTAAGGGTTACTCTCCATAACTGTAGCAGGAGCAAAGATAATCTTCTCTGGAAACCTTCTTCCACCCAGAAGTCCCTCTCACTGGAATCCAAAGAGCCAAACTTTCTTTCCACTGGTAATTTGGGAATCTGATCAAGAGGGAGGGTTCCTCCTTCAGATGGGATGGAACAACTTTAACTACTGTGGTTCTTTTTGCACACAAAGCAGATGTCCTGACATTCACCTATGAATGGAGATTATACTGATGTGAGCATTATTAGTCATTCAGATTATTTCCATGTTTCTTCTTTCATGGTGGCACAACATTTAGTCATTTACAGCCTAAAGTTACTATTATTCAGCTATACCTACTTGGCCATTATTAGCATGGCAACACAATCACATCTGGAAATGTCTATGAGGTTTTCAGATTTACAAAAGCAGAGTTAAGCTCGGCAGGAGAATGCACTCTTCTTTTCTTTGCTTTTCGTAGCAAGCAACTTTGGGCTTTGCAGTCCACATTTTGAATTTGAAACCATATTTAATAATACATTTTAAAACAGTGTACTTATCAAATGCAAGCACAAGTATCAAAGCATCAAGTTTTTCATATGAATGTTGCCTAACAAAATCAGTGTGAAAAAAAGTTTGTGCAGTTTGATAGCAGTTCTTTTATTGAGCTGTTTCTCTGAGGTCTGCACTTGGAGATTTTAGACAATGGATAAATGCTGTGATATTTATAACATATAGCTTCTGTCATAACACTTCTCTTCCAGCAAAGGCAGAAATCGCAGTTGACCTTAAGATGTGAGCCGAGATTTGAGGTGCTTGCATACCTTATATTATTTCAAGTTTGACCCAAGTTTTTTGGAGAAATTTGACCCCGACTTTAAAAATAAGACATGATGAGCACTTAATATTTGTTTTACTTGAATATTTTACAAGGCCATCTCACAAAGTTGAATGTGAAAGCTTGCGGTGGTCCAGGCTGGAAATTACAAGAAATACTGAAGGACTCTGTATGGTACTCTGTCAATAAAATGGTGAGAAACTAGTGTTTTAGGCTAAAATTTCAACAGACAGTGTCAGCCAGGTTTTTTGCAACCAGCTTGACTAAATCTTTACAGTCGCACCGGCATTTTCATTTTGCATAACTCATCTGTAAATCTGTTTCAACAGAAGAGTGGAGCTCCCATCGAGAGCCATTCCAACCCAGCAGCACTCAGGACAGCAGAGGAAGGCTTTCTGAGCCATAAAAATAAAACAAACAACACTTCGGAGAACTGGAATGACATTGGAAGGCCAAAGAAAACAATGTGAAACACTCAGCCCCAGTACAGAAGATGAAATCAAGGAGATACAGTAGGGTGTAACGAATCAGCTCATGAGGAAATATGAATAATTAACCATAACTAATTATAATTAATTATTCATATTTTAGATCCGCTGTAGATATTTAGCTGACCTCTCAGGGTCAACTGTCTTGTCAATTCTAAGAACGTTAATTTCCTGGTTAAAGGAAATAACTTTCTTACTGTACAATTCTACAAAAGCTTGTAGCATAAATCTGCATGATTAAGTGACTCCAGTTATGAGCAAACAATGAACCACGTCAAGTGTGATACAAGTAAGGTTTTAACTACAAGGTCTAACATCCTTCATACACACTTAAACTAGTCTATATACATACACACACACTATATATATGTAAGCTGACAGGAGTGTGTTTCGATTATAAGTCTGCATAACAGTATACAATTTCAAAGACCAAATACACGATGACAATAATATACCCAATGACCTGAAGGATCATGTGTGTTCATTCAAAGAAAGGTTTTCCTATGAATTAATTAGTAGAAAAGTCCATTTCTACTCTGCCTCTTGCCCTGGGACATGCAGAGATTTTCCCTGCTTTGCATTCTTTTGGCCAATAAACCCAGTGATATCAGCGTTGGTTGCCATGCAACCAGGGGCCTGTTCGGCTTCCTGGGGTGTTACGCATTTCGGGGGGAAGGGTTCATGGGTCCTCATATGGCTTGTTAACTGATGGGGGTTACAGAGTATTTGTTAAATATAAAAACAAAATATATATTGTGTGTTTGATTGGTCCAGACGCTACAAGGGTGACTTACCAATTATTTCCTACTACAAAGAAAAAGGGTGATTAACTTATTTCTCATTTCCAATCAGACAAATAAGGCATAACTGTGAACACTTTATTTTCACCAAGGTTTTCACAGTGATGCACATTAATAATATTTTTCATATTTATCAAGCTTATCATCGCTATTTCCACTGTTGTTTCATGCACTGTTATGTGAACCGCAAGCTTGTATTGTTAATTAATGGGAACACAGACACAACCACCCTGTTTCTGAGAAATCATCAGCTACTTGCCATCTGCAAACGCATGTTTGTCGATGCCAGACATTGTTATGCTTCTCGTGAAAGTAGTAGAGAACGCTAACTTAAGTTCCTTTCCGAACTCTGTTAATTTCAGATTTTTCTCCATAAAAAAACAAAACTGTGAATTGTTGTTTTCCATATCTGATTGTGAAGGGAGTTTTGTTTGCTCATGATGAAGCTTTGCTCTCCTACTCAACTACATGGAGCACAAAAGCCTCCTCTTCTCATCTTCTCTTTTCTATTGCCAAGGCTGCTTCTGTCAAAGATTCACAAAAGACACCCACTGGTTCGCCAATGGAGAACACAACGAGAGCCTGCGGTTTCTAAAGGACTTGGCTGATGTCACCTGGTCGTGTGATGAAGGGCATGGAAAGGAGGATGATAGCTCATCTCTGGCCAACAAAAGTGAACCCATTAACCGCAGAATTCATTTAGCTGTGTTCCTCTACTGTATGCAGGAGAGGAAAATAAGCATATTTCAATCTCTTATGTGACCATGAATCTTACAAGCAGTGATAGAAAATGATAAAATGTCTTTTCGGTTGCCCAATTTAGCGCACACAAGGTTGAATATTACAATTTTACTTCAGATGAGAAGCAAGATGAACAAGTATCCTTCACTAACCTAATAAAATAAAGGCATTCAGATGGAGACAGGGTCTGAATTAATTGCCATTAAAGTCTAATTGGCATTAAAGCACAATGATGTTATTAAGAGAGCTCTATGAATCCCGTTTCTCCATTAGATTCCTTGATGCTTAAGACGAAACGTAGGTTTGAGAGATGAGTACAGGTACAGTCTGGCACCAAGGTCTGCTAATTGTATTATATTTCTTAGAGCAAGCAAAGTGAGTCAATAAATATTTGAGGGATAACACTGATTCTGTCTCAGCGGAGAACCTTTGAACCGGCATGCTGGAAAACGGATAAATAGAGTCAAGGATTACAGTGTTGCAAATCTCAAAGTTAGCGCAATTGTCTTCTTACCTTCGAGGAAGAAAGCTGTGCGCTATGGGATTTTTGCAATTTCTTGCATGGTGGGACAGGTGTATTTACTTTGGTAATTGTATTCCGTTTCCCAATTCATAATGTGATTTAATATTAATGCCATTCAGAGCACTAGAAAAAGCAGATCTCAGAAATTATCTAGGCAGCCATAATGCAAAACCGTTTTCTTCCACTTCCTAAGCCTTTGTTATTGTATGAAAGTGCAGTATAGCAATCTGGATAGCAACTCTTTTTCACTTTCATATAGGTTTGCAAAGGTGGTCTGTCACATAAAATGGAAAGAAAATCTCTCCAAGGGCCCTCAGAGTGCAATCACAAACTATTTTACTTCAAATGTTTTACTAAATCCAATTGACATGTTTTCCCCAAACGTGCCTTAATAAAAGGCAAATGCCATTGCAAATCAATAGGAGTGTTAATTATATTTATACAAACAGAAAATACAGTACAGAGGCTATGGGTCAATTGTAATGTATTCTCATTGCTAGATTAGCCCAGAAACTGAATTATTCATTAAATCATTTTAATGCAGGCAGTTGAGCATTAAAATCTCTTTTTTTTTTTTTTAAAGTGTATTAACTTTTACTGCAATGCATCCTTAATTTAATGTCACCTGAGAATGAGTAGAGGGGTAATTTGGTCGTTTTAATTAGGGATGTAGTTCAAAATAGAATAATGTCTTTATTGAGTTTTATCTCACTTGCCTCTTGACTTACTACTTTATGCCCAGAGAACTTCACACTGCCTAACTATTAGTACAGCGTGTTCCCAGCCTCTATGCAGATTGCACTTTTATTTTAAGATTAATAAGGTGGTTTGGACACTAATACTAACGAATTAAACATTTTGTATTTTTAAACTGCTCTACATAGTCATTACAACTCAAATAGGCAAAAGCGGAAATATAATCAGACCCATAAGGCAAAAAACATTTAAAAAATATTGGTAAAATGGATGTTAAAAACTGTATATTTACATAAACACAGTTTGGATAAGAATATATATATATATATATATATATATATATATATATAATATATATATATTGTTCAGATGCAAAACCTCTACCTGCCGTCTGAAATTTTCTTCTAAAATGAGCATTTTTATCAGGCTCCTATGTTTAGTTATTTCACTTTAATTACATAAAAGTAAAATATCTATATTGTTTTGTTTTTTGGACCGTTTACCGAAAAGCTTGGAAATTTATTTTCTTGCCCTTGAAGTACATTTTGTCATTAAAGGGTAAACAAATATATTTTCAAAATTAAAACACTATATAAGAACACAAAATAAAATTAAGTATATATGTTTTTTTCTTATCATTGTGTATTGGAATTAAATAGTGTTTTGTTTTCATAACTCATAATTACGGCATTCATTTTTATGTTGATGAAAAGACGAAGTCTTCGAATTAGCAGTCATATTCTGCATGCTGTACCACACTGATGAGGATCTAAATATTAAATATGTCTTTTCTACATGACCAGTGTCCAGAGGTCACAGCGAATGTCCAAGCCCTTGTAGTTACGGCTCCTCATGCCGAGCGCTGCGGGATCCAGGAAGAAATCCAAACTCTCACTGCCTTCACTATCGACACCCCACCCTGCCCTTAGGCCAGGCACCAGATTTTTCATGTCAGCTGGCACACACCTTCTTCTCATAAGTAGGTGTTTGACTTTCACAAGTCTCTCTCTATCCTGGC